AAATGTAATAGATCTGTTTTAGAGTAAATCTTGCACAGAAGGCCATCACTTGGAGAAGTTTCTAACTGATTTATCATTTCTATTGGGAAGTCTCTGAAGTATGCTGTTGTCCAGAGCCCTTTTTCTGTTGTACTACTGGCAATTATGATGAGCAGTGCAATATTAAAAGGGCATTGGCTGGCAGAAACATGACCCCCTTTAGCAGCCCACCCTGTTCAGAGTGGGCAAACAACCCTAAAATAGATGCCTCCTTCAGTGTATTTATGCATGTGTGTGAAATAAGGTTTTATACATGTGGGAGTGGTTTTGAATAAGGAGAGATTCTGGATTATACATTTTATGTGTACTTGCATATTAAAGAGCTGGAGTAATTTAAACACATTCTATTTAAAACGAGCTCTAGGCATTTCTGGGGCTTTCAGGGTATCACATTACCTGATTTGTTTACTAATATCTTGTGAGTAATTCATTATTAAATTTCTACATGCTTCCATATAATATCTACATTGAAATTTTACAGTGATTTCTTTAGTCTTTTTCCTTTACAAAAACATTTGCGTATGTGTTTAAGGTGGTCCTTACCAGTATCTGTGAGGATTTAAGACTCTTGATTTGTTTCTATGAATCTGCTTTATTTATACTGTGATTATTATTATTATTATTTTTTTGAGTGGTGTCACACAGACATCTGTGAGATAGAAGCACAGATACTCATATTTTCATATGCAGAAGTCTACTCATCTCTGTAACATTTTTCCTTCGTAGCAAATCCAGGCAGTGTGTATTTACACCATTCTAGGCTTTTTGGTCTGTGCTTGTCAACCACTACAAAACGCTCAGCACAATTAAGAAAACTTGTGAAGGAACAGGAAGGGGCTGGCACTCAGTGATTTATTTAAATTGCAGAGTTGAGGTTCATTGAGCGACCAGTTTGGTTTTGTGGAAACGTGTACATGTGGGGATGCAGAGTCAGCCCCCTTCTTTTGTTCTGCATTACTGTAGCAAAATATTTTATTGTATAAAACCTTCATAACATACCATGCCTAGATACACTGGGCGTGTAGGAAAAGCCCTGAATGCCTTGGTTAACAAGCCAGGCTAACAGTGCTCTCTCTCTTCCTCGTTCTCCCTCCCTTTCATTTTTTTTTTTTTACTAACTTTTGTTGCTGTTGTTTTTTACCTTGTCTAATTACGATTGCAAATAAACTTTGTCATGCAGAGTTTTACTGGGGGCTAAACATAAAAACGTTATTGTGGTTAACACTGTAATGCTGCAGTCCCTTACAAAAGGATGCAGGGCAGCTGTGCAGAAGTGACAGTGGCTGCTGGTATCGCTGGCTCTGACAATGTTGCACTACTGTCTGCACAAATAAAGCAGTGCAATAATATTGTCAAAGCATTTGGTTCCAGTCCTAATACATCCTCATGATCAGTTACTGTTGCACACCCAGCCCCTGACGTGATGGGATTCTGTAGACATTTAATACATTCTGGCAGGGAACCATCCCCCTGCTCTGATTTCTTATACACACACACACACCCTGCCATAAATGCTCAAATGTGTGCAAAAAATTTGAGATTATGTAGAAATTGACCAAAAAATTCCTGCCCTCATGTTTGTTTGTTGGGTCTGTGTTTAAGCTGAGTGGTTGTACAGAAATTCCTTGGGTTTTGTTCCCCATTTTGACTGTTTTAGTGTACAAAATGGATTGCCCTTTCTGCCACTAGCGTGGGTTTGTGTTTCCAAGTTGTAAAATAAAAAGCTGGCCTATTCACATCCTAAAGCCCTCTTGTCCTCCTTTAGAACAATCACCACCTTTAAAATTAGCCTGACCATGTTTGAGTATTATCTTGTGTCTGCTTTAAAAATTAGGTTTATGAACCTGAGGATGCTATTGTGTTGAGAATTCTGTGACTTTAATACATACGTGTGCATTCAGGGGCAATTTCATTTTTGCTTCCTATTAATGGACTTTTCAAATTCCATCATATTTCACTTTTAGAGGAATTATTGCTTTGATTAAAGCAATGTTGATACCTTCATTTATGTAAAAAAAAAAAAAAAAAAGGAGGCACGTAATAATCAATACATTTTAAAGGCGATCTTTGCACGTCTCAGTAACAAACGAAGTGGGTCTGAGAGACACAGGGATGATGCAGGCCTAGGAACAGCAATATTGCATTCAGAATTGATCTTTAAATAACAGTATGTTGGTGACTGTCACTCGTGCTGTAGTTGGAGGCAGATATGGTATTTTCACTTCCAGCTGCTAAGAAAGGGGGTTGGAGGCTGGGGGATGGGACCTTTCTCTCTTTTCTCCTGAAGCCTTGAGCTGTTACCTTGGGAGCAAAAGGTGGGGGTGGGGAGAGCTATCATATGGGAAATTAAATCTAGGTAAAGGAGCATTTTCAGATCGGATTGCACACCCCTAGCCAGGCCAGGGTCTGCATGCTGGCGAGCCACAGGGAGTCAGAAAATGGAGAAGCACATCCTTAGGGGGGATCCCAGTTAAGAAGGACGAGGGGAAGCTGTGTCCCCAATATTACATTCCTGTTCCTCCATGAGCAAACAAAAGACACCTTCTCTGTCCCCGCATTTCTGCTGGGGAGTTGGAGTCTGCCAGCCTCCCTTCCGTGCTCAGAGAAGAATGCTGAGCCCTCCCAAGTGGAGGCTGGGGGACCAACGGTGGCCGCAGAACGCTTCCCGTGCCTCAGTGGAGGTAACACGGCCCCGCGTTGCTCCCTCTCTCTGGAGCTCTTCTTTTCCTTCATCTCTGCATTGTATGCAGCATGGCTGCCATTTCTGTGCTCGTTAAAGAATGAGGAGGCCTGTTTAGCATAGGCATTTTCCTCTTCTAATTTTTGCTTAATTAAGAAGTCAGAGAAAGTGAAATCTGTAAAGGCTCTGTGGGTGGGGGCTCTTCGCCTCCACCGTCCATGAGAACAGAACAGAGACCAGAGCAGAGGCGCAGGGGCCCAGCACTGCCTCTGGCCAAGGAGATCAGAGGGTACGAGGAGGCCCAGTGAGACGCTGGGAGCCACACTGGTGCAGGCAGTGCTGGGCCATGTGCATGCTGAGTATGTGTGTGCGTGGGGCCCGTCAGTGGGCAGGAGCAAGTGGCAGCAAAAGCCCCGGTGGTGCTGACACCAGACTGTAAGATGGCCTCTCAGCCATGTCAGCCTCAGTTGGCGCTGGAGAAATCCTGGGGGGAATCTACGCATGGTTGTTTTTTTCTGTATAAAGTTAGGTCTCTACAAACAAGATGGTAGATGCATTTGGAAACCTCGCATGGCAAGGGCACTTGAGGCATGTGATGTAGAGGAAGGCCTGGGTGATGACAAGGACCATGTCCTGCTCACAGAGGGCTAGGAGACGCCTTCCCTGGGCTGCCTGCCCACTGGGACTGAGCTGCAACCCTGCGAGGCCCTGGGGTGTGGGGGTAAAGGATTGGGTTCCCTGCAGATTGGGGCCTGGGATGGAGGCTGCACATTCCAAACCCTCCCTTCCCCACTTGCTCACTCTCTCTCCTTTTTCTTTTTCTTTTTTTTTTTTCTTTTTTTTTTTTTTAACCCTGCCTGGCTGAGGAATGTAATAGAGGAAAAAAAAAAAAAAAAAAAAAAAAAAGCGGGGGGGATTCGGAAGCAAAGGCCCCCTTCAGGAGTCTGTATTTGTGCAAGGGAAACCATTTGCATGTGTGTGGAGATGCCAGAGTTTGTCTCCAGTTGGGTCGGAGGGGGAGGGCGAGGGAGGAATGCGGGGAATCAGGTCGGGCTGCGGGGGGAAGGGCTCCGGCAGAGCCTCCATCCTGTTGTTGCATAAACTTGTTAAAAGAACAACTCCTCTGTGGAGGCAGCACACATAGAGTATTAGTGTGGTGGAGGAGGCCAGACCTGCGCCCTGACTACACAACCAATTGGAGCGGAAAGTGAAATCAGATGGTTTAAGTTTTCAGAGGCGATTTTTTTTTTTTCAGGGGGACTTTTGGAGTCATTGCATTTAGTGCTTGATCTGTGTTAAGGTCGCTCTCACAGCTCTCGGGTGCTCTAGGGACAAGAGGTGGCTGGGGAGGGCAGTGGTTGATGGTTCCCCTCCCGTGCCCTTCCCCTCGGCCCCAGCTGCAGGGATGGGACCTGGGGAGGACACACAGCCCCTACCCTGCTCAGGGCCTTTGGGATTTTAACGGGGGCAGCCCATGCTCTGCTGCAGGGAACAGCCATCGGGGGCTCACAGTGTGGCTGGGGGCCCCAAGGTTGGCCCCGCGCTGTGCCTTCACCGGTGGAGGCAAGTGCTAACAGTGCTGCTGTCCTGCACACACAGGGCCAGAAGCGGGATGTCATTTCCAAAGAGATGGGATTTAGCTCCCTATTTGCTCCTGCATTTCATACTGTGAGGGCATTTTGTGTTGTTGTTGTATTTTTTGTTGTTGTTTTTTTCCCACCAGACAGCAGAGCGCTGGTAAACACCATGCAGAAAAGCCGTATTGTGGGGTTACAAAGTCTAGGCTGTTTAAGGAGCTCTGTCGTTCCTTTTAATGGAGCTCACTGACGCAGATCTGGCTTCTGCCAGCTGAGGAAATGTTGCTGCTGAGAAAAGGGTTATTGAAACCCACAAACTAAATATTATAAGCAAGAATTAAATGGCAGGACATTTTGGAGTGTAATCCTTCCTGATTTTAGGGGAGGAGATGTCAGCCTATATCGGGCAAAGTACTGCTAAGTGACAGTGGGTGACAGTCCCCAGGCCAGCGAGTGAGACACGCGCAGCAGGCGGTGTGCTCAGGGAGGACTCCCACTCCCAGCCCTTCCTCTCCGCAGTCTCACACCTGGACAGGTTGACTCTTGCGTGGAAGCAAGAATCCCCTTTTTCTATGGATGGATTTGTAGTAACTTGCTAGATAGACTTAAGGAGTCCGGGTTGGAATGCTAAGAATTCTCTTTCAGAAAAAAAAAAAAAAAAGGGGGGGGGGGGGGGGGGGGAGGAGGGGGAGAATTAGAAAGGCAACACTTCCCAGTTTTAAAACAACGGAGAAGTCTAAAATCAACTCTCAGCTGCTTTCAAAGTGTTGGCTCTGACCATTGGTAACAGCGTCAATTCCATAGCAGAAAATTTATCTTGGACTATGTAATGTATTTAATTGCAAGATGGCTTTTAAATGGCCTTCTTTCCTTGGGCTGGTGAAATGGCTGTGAGCAGGGAAACAAGGCTGGACTGAGGCTTTGTTTCCTGCCACATTATGTGAAGCTGCAACCCAGATGAATATCTAAAACACACATTTGCCCAAAGTGGCACCTTTAACCACAAGAAAAAGCAAACAGCAAGGAATAGAAGGGAAAATGGCTTCCAAACTAAGCCAGGGAAGATGAGGTCTACTCTCACAAGGAGCAGGCGGCCTCTGAGCTCCTGAGAGTCAGTTCACTGCTTTATATTTATTCCAAAGCTTCGTCACAGGGACACTGAGTTTGTTTGTCTGCATCAGAAAAGAGGGCTTAAACAGAAAGCCCAACTCCACTACAGTTAAAGATCCCCCCAGCACTGCCAAAAGAAAAAAAATCTTCAATTATTGAGCAACACAGAGTGTTATTTCCATACTAGCATGGGTGACATTTCCATTCAGTTTCTATAACTGTGATTAAAGGCGAGAGAGGTTTCTAAACATATCTAGAGATGTTGAGCCTCCTGGAGTATAAATAGCGTGCATTTCATAATCTCGTGTTTAAACATTTATTTTAAAATAACCCCCATATACATTCCAGAGATGCCTCCCTGCTATAGAACATGGATTGACCCGGGCTTTGCATATTGTTTGCAAACTGGGGAAATATTACTGCTGACGGAAGCAGCCTTTATTTTTCCTGTCTTGTAAAATAAATAAATAAATACCGTGGGCTGCCCTGTGCCAGTGCACCACGTGGAGATAAAGGAATCCTGAGGAGCACCTAGGCTCTCAGTGCAGACCCAGAAACACACTGTGACTTGATTGCCTTTCCTTGGACCTTAACTTCTGGCTGATGTTTCTAATTACATCCCTTACTCTTTCCTGCTACAACTGTAGCTTCTGCAGCTACTAAAATTCCGAAGTTGTGGAGACATTGTCAAGTTGTGCTTTTCCCCAGTGTTACTAATGATTAGCAACGTGACTTGGTGTGCAAGTTGAACATTTCAACTGTGAACTCACCAGTGGGCCAGTGGAGAAGTTAAATGGTGTGTGTTAAGCATAAGTCTTGTTTGAAACACCATCAAGGCTGAAGAGTGGAAAACACGTGGTAAACATAAGCAAAGTAGAGACTGGACGGGAATAGATGGAAAGGTAAGGCCAAGCCCAGTTGCATCTTTTTTTTGTTCTCAGCCCAACTGGATGTCTAGGTTGCAGAGATTGCTGAGAAGCAGAGTGGCAGGATTAAAACCTGAAGTTTTGCCAAGGTAACAAAAATACTGAAGTTTGATAAAACTCCTTCTGAGCTGCTTACAGCAATCTCTGTGAACGTGGCCTTTTAATTAGTGTGAGCAAAGGTTAATACAAGTAAATAATGTGGAAGAAAGATCTCCGTTTGCTTCCAACAGGCATTGCAGAGGATGGTGATAGGGAGGGACTGGTGCAGACTGGAGATTTTGTGTATCAGGCCATTAGAAAAACAAATAATTAATGGAGCTTCTCCTGTTCTCTTTTCTCCGGCATGTCCTTAGTTTTCAGCTGCTTTGGGCAAGTCAGGCAACATCAAAGGGGGTGCAGGCTGCCTCACACCAGCATGCCAAATGCCAGGGATCTCTAATGGTAAAGACCAGATCAATGTGGTATGCATAAATTAGCCAAGAAACCATGAATTAGGGGATTGTCTCTCCACTACTGCTCTTATTTAATCCACTGCAAAGCAGGCTGAGGAAAGAGAATCTGACAGCATCAAATATAATGAGCTGGTTTGGGATGGTTTGGAAATGAAGTTTCCCTCATCTTCCCGTGCTCTCAAGTACTCCTACATGATGGAAGCGCTAGGCAGATTTACTGGGAGCCAGAATGCAGAGGAAGAGCCTACCTGGCAAAGCAGCCCTGAAGCTGGAGGTGTGCTGGCCTCTCCCTGGGATTCTTTTCTGTGGCCATTGGTGCATTTAGCACCAAGCCAGCTCCAGCTGAAGACTGTGCCATCCAGCCTAGGACAGAAAGGTGCTGGGGAGGAAAGGAGAGGAAACAGACAAAAAGAAAACAACAACAACAACAAAACACAAACAACCGAACAACCAAACAAAAAACCAACCAGCCCTGGAGATACTATTTCGCTTTCTAATTTTTGGTGTTTGTGTACTTAATCCTGTGATTTGAAATGAAATCATGAATGATCATGATAATGAAAGGTGGGATTTTTTATAACACTGGGCTTTCTAAGTTGGATGGTGTTGGAAAGGAAGTTCTCTGTGTGCTCAATGCCTGTTACTAAGAGGTTCAAAATACAACTGTTGGTTAATCAAATAAACAGCTCTTCCCAGCCTCCAATGGCTCAGGCAGCTAATTGACTGAGTTTATTAATGAAGGAGAGAAAACTATGCAGAAGAAGTACGAGAACTGAAGACAGAGGTATAGAATCCTTAGAAAAAAGTCCACACTGGTGTTAAGTACATCCTGGGAGAAAGTGGGGGGCAGGGGTTTGAGCCATTCCTTCATCCCAGGCTCCAGGGAGCACATGGTGCTGCAATCCACAGGGCACTGCGCTACTTTCTAACTTTTTACCCCTTCCCCATTTACAGGCATGGAATGAAGCTCCCTCCAATCACCTGTCGCAAGAAACATTATCCAGCTTCCTAACCTTAAGGATGAGACCCTATCAATATTGCCTCTGCTTTTGTGCTCAGGGTAGTAGTGCAATATTGCTTATAGGGTCTTTTCTTTTGAGGGTATTCTTCATGGAGAGAAGACAGCCACATCAGGAAAAATTAATCCTATGTGCCCATCGAGTTAAGGGAAAAGTTGTGAAATACCAAGCATTGTTAGATAGACAAGTAATTGTGCAGAGATGTTATGTGTGACAAATAATCATGCTATTGTGGTGACTCAAGTTGTGAGTAATGGGCATATTTTTGATGCTATCACACAGGATTCAAAATGGCCTTATGTTTAAAAGGCACAAGCAGTAACTGAAACTGCAGAAACCCATAGCGTCTCCATTTTAAAACAGTACAAGTCCCGAGATGTTTGAAGGGTGCCTATTTTACATAACGATGTAAACACCCACCAAGGGATGGGAGGAGATATACAGCCACACTCGGCTGTTCCTGTGCCTGCTCCTAGCCCGAAAACCAGTGCTGTGCAGAGCAGAGCGTTGCACGAAGAGACCGAGGCTCTAATCCCGATAACCTCCTCTAAACAAAGCTCGTGCCTCTGCCTGGCGAACGCGGCCGGGCCCCGCAGCCCGGGCTTGATGCAGGCACAGCTGGGCTGGGCACTGCCCCCAGCCCTACCCGAGAGCTGCTTACGGAGGTACGTGGGAAAGGAGCCGGGCCCGGGGTGTTCAATCTCAATCTCCTCTCCGCTTTGTGAAAAATCAGCTGGGGGCTGACAGCAGCCGGGCTCGCCGGGTGGGTGGCCTTGCCTTCCATTTCAGGTGGTCGCCGCGGTCCCTTTCGGGACCTCTGAGGCCCAGGCAGAGGGGTGGTGGGAGGGGATTGGGGCCGGCTCAGGGTGCGCCGGAGCGGCCGCAGCCGCGGGGCTTTCTTAGCCGCCCCCGGGCAGCACGGGGCCGCGTTCTCCCTGCGGCGGCGGGCGCGGGAGGGCGAGAAGCCCTACGGGACCGCTGCCTCCCGTCTGCTCGCCCGACCCCAGCCCTGCCCTCTGTTTAACCCCCCGGGCATCACTCCCAGGGGAGGCGACCAGCCAAGGGACAAAGCCAGGAAATACCCCCCACCCTCGTCTCAAAGCCCGGGCTCTCCCTCTGTGCCCCAGTCCAGCGGCCCGGGCTACCGGGCGGGCTGCCCCTCTTTCCCTGTTGCACTACTGTCACGGTCGCAGCGAGCAGTGCAATAATGAAAGGGCGTCAGTGCGCCGGGGAGCGGCGAGAGCCGGGCCCAGCCGGTGTAACAGCGGGCGGGGAGGAGAAGGGCCGTCGGGCCGGGCCCCCGGAGCCACTGGAGAGGGGCAGGGGTCGCCGCGCTGCTCGCTCTGTCGGAACGCGCAGGGCGAAGGGAGCGGGCCGGCCTCGGCCATCCGCGTAAATAAAGTGCCTTCCACGTTCCCGTCGCTGCCTTTTCTTCCGGGCGGGTTTTCTTGCAGGTCTCCAGCCCCTCCTGCCTCCCTAGCGGCGGCCCCTCGACAGCTTTTTGTCGGGCTGTCCGACGTGCTAATAGCCGGCTTGTTCTTTGTGGGAAGAGGGTGAAAACGGAAAATGAATGTCTTCCTTAGCCGAGCAGCCTGAAGAACAGGCTCGAGACATGCCCTAGTGCTGGGTTCAACAGTGGGGCTGGGGGGAGCATGGGGTGACAGAGGAATGGTTTACAATAACGGACATCAGATCAGCAGTGCGGCTGGGAGCTGTGCTGAGAAGGCCAGGAAATAGCCCTCTGATTATAGGTGGCCATGGTGAAATGGATACTTCTATAAATGAGGGCTGGGGAGGAGTATTTCCTTCAGTGAAGGAGACCTTTCCACTCTGGCCTTTTGAACCTGCATTTCTCGACCCTGTTTCTGCTTCATCATGAGCTTTTGCAGAGGAAGGTGAGTGCAGAAAGCAAACCAGCTGGAAAAGGGGAATGCAATCTAATCCTGATGAAAAGGCTATTCCAGTCTATGTATAGTTTCCTATTTCTATTGGATTCTCTCTTTCTTCCATCCCTCACATGCACAAGCAGATACAGAAGCCGAATCCTTCCCTGCAGTTTCTCTCCCAGGGAAAAGTCAGCCCCTTCCCCAGCTTCACCTCCAGTCTTTGCACACACAAAATGGCTGCAGCAGCCTGTGGGTGGGCATGGAGAGCTCAGGAAGCTGCTTTTCTTTTTCCCCACTCTGCCTGCCCAGGAAGCCCTTCTGCTTTTCTTTTCTGTGGCATTTTGCTCTTGCATAGTTCTGTGCAAATCCAAGGGGGTCTCCAACGTGTGAGCTATGCATGGAATGGGAGCTGGGGAGGGAAATGGACAGTTTGCATGAGAAGGGGATCATTTGGGCCCCAGTGTTTATTTTTTTGCTGACCTTCTGGGGATATGGTCAGTGAGAGCTGTGACAGCTGCTGGAAGCGGCAGGGGCTTTGAAGATTGTGAAGGTTGTGACCTCGAGGCCCCTTTCCTCTCTCTGTCCCAGGAGCTGCTGAGTCAATCATGGAAAAGGGGAGGTGAAACGGGGGCTGCTCTTTAGCCATTTTTCAATTGGTGAATGAAACAGGAAAGGACAAATGCAAGAAGAAAAAAAGAGCGATTACTTCCACTTTGGTGCATTGCTGAGAAGGAGGGACATCTCTTTGGCTAAAGATTATAACAATAATGGGAAACCACTGAGCTCCTGAGATCCAGCACCTTGAATAAAGGATTTGACTGGGCAAGGAGCTGATGGCAGATAAATAACAATGAATTAGCGGGAAGCCTACAAATGCTATTTGGCTAAAAGCAAGAGGAAATCCACCTCTTAATTTTCACCTGATTCCATCTATAGACATGTATCACTACCTTCCACTACCTCCACGACCTCACACTAATGCATCTTCACCTTTGTTGAGCTTAGCTGAACCCTGTGGCTCAGGCTGTTATGAAGCCACTGAGAAGGACTGCCCTGAACATACCAAAATAAAGGGACAAAGTACATTGTGAGTGCGTGCTTCCAAACAGGCTTGCTTGGCAATTCACGCTCTGGGCAGCCCATGAGAGGGCTCTCCCTCAGTCCCAGAGCCCTCTAAGCCCAGAAAATTGGGTTTAAGTCTTTTTCACTTTCTAGATAACATGATCCTACGGATCTGGCCTTTTAAAAAAGTAAGCAGAATGGCAAACAGAGTGCCTGGCTTTGGTTGACCAATACACAGCAGAGGCAAAGAAGGCAAACAGCAGGCTTTTCAGTTAGTTTACACAGGGGGCACTTAAATACTGTATTGGTTACACAATACCATTTGGGGGTTGGGGTTTTACACATACTTCTATTAAATGTATCTGTGACATTTGTTTTAAAGTGATCAACATAAAACCAGCCACAGCTTTAAGAGGAAAACTCTTGTGATTAGACCTAATAACACCAGGTAGCTCATAATATATTTACTAGAACCAATGCACAATAGATTTCCAACCCCACCCCAGTCCCTAACTGTTGGAAAGCCTTGTGCTCATTCTCCTGCAGTGGAGGGTGTCACTCTGCCTGTAGAAGGGCTGTCATAGACAGCCACTTGCCTACGGAAAGCAAAGGCTGCTGGTTTTTAGGACTGTATCCTGCTACTGGTTACACATCCAGCCCTCAAAATTCATCCAACACAAACCAAAGACACAATATGGTCTGGCAATTATGACAAACAAAGTGCTAAGCAAAAAGGGAAGGGATGCTTTAGTAATAATACTTAAAAAATCATAGAGCCTTCTTTGATTAGGAAAAACAAAAAAATAAACAACAACAACCAAAAGAAAAAAAAAAAAAAGCCAAAAAAAAAAACAAAAACCCACCACAAAAATCCACCAACTACAATTCATTGTTATTTCCTGAGAATCCCACTCACGTGAATACCTGAAAACATATTATCTTCCCAATAAGTCTTCTAGCAAGCATCCTGTTGCCATCCACAGAGAGTAGCAGGTGGTCAAACTGCTCCACTGGAGGCTTGACAATGGCATTAGCCATCCAGCTTTTCAGCTAAAGCCTTGCTCATTCAGCACACAACTCCTCAGACTCCACCTAAACCGTTCCTCAGAACAGTGAGCTTCCCCTGCAAGGCCTGTAGCTCCGTATCCTTACTAAGACCCACTGCTCAAAAGTCAGCGGATGAGAAGAAGCATCTCAAACTTTCACAGCTTTAGAATCATGCTCTTCTCTTTAATAGTGCTAGTGGTGGCAGTGGTGATGAGGAGACGGTTGGACTAGATGATCTGGTAGGTCATTTCCAACCTTTTGATTTTATGATTCTATGATTCCATGTGCTGTCACTGGGAGTTCCACGGGCAGAGATCTCTGCCGTAAGAAGCTAGCGGAACAGCAGGTAGGTGGCTGATTGAGAATGGAAGTTCTTGACTGGCAAACCAAAATCATTCACGTGGCCCTGCACAGAACTAGGTGCACTGCCAGCGCTCAGAGTCAAACACCAATTTGGTAGAAATCCTGCTTACTCACCTTGGAGGTGAGTGTGCCTTGTATTGTAAACCTTAGGTCTTGTAAACATCCTTAGACACACGGAATGATCAAATGACAATGATAATAATATACAGTAATGAAGCAACTATTTTAAGGAATTGTCCCGCTACAACAACGTCAGACCTCTTCTCTGCCTTTTTCAAACACTTCTCTGCTGGGAAGCAACACATTTGCCAGGAGCTGCTACATCCATACCAGCAGTTCATCCCATTAAAATCAGTGGGGAATTACACTTTGTACGAAAGCCTCCATCACACTATGCCAGAAGAGAAACTTTGTTTTGTTCCTCTGCCATGAATTTCCATCACTTTTCAGGATAAGTTTAGGGTGATAGCAGAAAGTCTGTTGCTTGGTTTTCGTTTTACAGAGTTAGATCTTAAACATATATCTAAATTATTAGCAACAATAAAATCAACAAAACAAACCCACCATCACAAACCATCTCTGCTCTGAGGAAAGAAGGAAAGAAGGAAAGAAGGAAAGAAGGAAAGAAGGAAAGAAGGAAAGAAGGAAAGAAGGAAAGAAGGAAAGAAGGAAAGAAGGAAA